TAGTGAAATTTTACTTGTATATGATATCAATGGTATTGTTTCAAAGTTTTCAGATTCTGTTGGGTAACCTTTCTTTAGAATGGGTACAAGTATGGATTGCTTCCACTGTCCAAGTGGCTGTCTTCCAAATTCCCTGGAATCCATGAGTGAGTGCTTGGGGTTAGGGATGACTGGGGATCCTGGGGGAAATGAAGAACTAGTAGGCATGAGTTCAAGAGGGGAAAAAAAGATATAGAACTACTTGTAGTGATGCTTGTACAACTCTTTTTAATATGATTGAACTATTGCATTATATGATATATGAATTATTTCTCAATAAACTATTTAAAAAATAGAAGCAGGAAGGATGGAAAAGAGGTGAGATAAGTGATTCTGCAAACAATTATGTGAAACAAAATATACGAATTGATGAATGGAAATTAATTTTTTACAAACAGCACACAATAAATGTTTTAAAGAAGAGGATTGGAAAGTTAGAAGTAAATAACACAAATAAAGAGTAAAATGGGCTAGATAACAACAGAATCACCCAAAATAAAGGCAATCATATAGAATATTATGAGGCGCTGTACTCCAAATATTTTGAAAACCTATAAAAATGAAATATCTACAAATCTAAAAAAATATTTAGAAACCCCTGGTCTATGCAAATAAACACAGACTGAGGTAGATTAGCTTAACATACATATAACAAAAGAATAACAGGTCATAAAAATTTGACTAAAAATATCTCAATAACAGCAGCAAAATATTGTGGTAAAGACAGCAATGTTGAAGAATTCAACTAAATATTCAAAGCAAAGATGACACTAATTTCATTAAAATCATTCAGAACATTAAATAAAAACATGTAAACATACTAAATTTAAATTTAGCATAAGCTTAGCCTTGATACCAAGGCCAAGCAAAGATTGCACCCCAAAAGATCAGTGTCCATCATAACTATGGACATAAAAATTCTCAACAAAACCCTACCAAGAATCCAAAATTATGCTATATCTATCACAACTAAGTAAGGTTCATGCAATGAAGTATGCAATGATACTTCAGCATTAGTGTGGTAGTTACATAATCTGTTGTCAGTTTGGGACTTGATAGGATTAAGAGTGAAGGGGTGGAGTCTAGTCTGTCAATTGGATCATAGCCAATGAGGCCTCTCTGTGGGTATGACCTTCTCCTGAGAATTCTGGGAAATCTGGATTTCATCCTTGGAGGAGGGAGACATTTCTCTCTTTCTCTCTGCTCACTCCCTTGGAGACTCTCTACTGACAATGCTCACTTCCTGTGTGAGACATCTCTGAGGAGAAGCCACATGGACCTACCCTGATGCAGCCCTGGGAACTGGAAGAACCACATGGAGACCCTTGCCAGAGCTGAAATGCTTCTACCGCCACCCTTGAATGTATAGAAAATATTTTTTAACTGAATCACATCTAATGAAATGCTTCCTTCAAACCCTTGCAAATGTTTTCTTATCAAATCCCAATCTTTCAATGTCTTATTATATGGGTAAGGGGTTATACAAAAATCAGAATTGAGAAGTCCAAAGTCTTGATCTTTCCGCAAAAGAACAATCTTTTGTAATAGTCCAATCACTACTGTATAAAATGTTCAGTTCTGATAGAATCCCTTAGACAGCATCAGCAATGGAAGAATTATCTCAGCAGTCAGAAATCGCCATTCTCAGGAATTTGCAAGGTCTTGACGTTTTGGATAACTTTAGTAACAGGACAGGGGTCAGGGTAGCATCAGCTTTCCTCCTTTATCCTGGGCCTTGCTGGCTGAAGAGAAATCCACCTATCTCCTTTGCCTGTGAAACCATAAACAAAAAGCCCCTCCCTTTGGGGTTTCAGTGACCTGGAAACAGAATTATGATTAAGGTTTTGTGGTTCCTTCATGTCCTTCATGTCCATCTTCCTCCAAATGTGGTTGTGTCCTTCTAAAGTGAGTCCATCAGCTTTATTCTGCAAAGACATTAATTCATAGCCTTTTCTCCAGGTGACAGATGGACCTGGATCCCAAACACAATTTACATCTTCTTGGGACTCCTTAGGATCAGCTTTCTCTGCAGATGTGAAATGTGTTTATCTGCCCTAATTTTGTTATACGCTTTTATTAAGCAGAATTTTTTTTTTTTGTTAAATTGACCAAATGAACTTTGTCACATGTAAGATTCCTTTTCTCCCCCTTCTGTTTTAACAATGCAGACAATAAAGCACTGCTAGAAATCTCAACTAACTTGTTAGGTCTTGAACCAGTAAAACTACTAGTTAAGATAGCCTTCATTGTTATGTAAATTTCTGCTTCCAGCTTTCAGAGAATCTTGAGAGCTAGCATATAAATTTCGGCTCCCAGCTCTCAGAGAATTAAGAGAGCTATCTAACTCAGGATGATTTGAAAAACTGAAAAAAAATGTTAATAAATTTGTCCCACTGTTCTTGAACTAATTTACCAGACATTTTTTCTCCAAGTTTACCAATAAGGTTACAGGCTCAAATAAGCCGCTTTGCCCTTCAGGTTTCTTACACTGTATGATTTTACAATCTTGCAATATTCTGTCTTGTTTAACTTCTCTCATTCCTTCCAAGCTCTATTTAGAGGAAATTAATGGGTGGGTCTTAGGCCCTCATGGATGCCTTAAGGAAATGACCCCAATTCAAAACCTTTTCCCTTCAATTTCTAATTCCATGTAGGGGCACTATTGTTTCCCCACAGCAGCATTCCAAAAGACCCCTTCATTTAAAGGGTGCTCAGACTTCTCAGGTGCCCTTTCCTGATAGGCAAACATTTTTACTCTAGAAATGCAAGGAAGCAAAACTTGGCTTAAGCCATCTTCTTTCTTTATAAACCATGGTATATCAGATGTTATCACTGCCTTGATTTCTTCATAATCCTGATCAATAATTCCAGCAACAATCTAAACACCTTGAGAATTTAGGTTGGACTTTCCTAATAAATGTCCCATAGTTCTTTTAGGTAGCTGATCCCGATTACCACTCTTATTAATTTCTGATTTAATCACAGCTTTAGGCTTTTCCTTGCAACTCTGATCAAACTCCAGTATCAATTTAAATTCCTTAAGTACTTAGGTTAAAACTTCCTGATAAAAACTGTATTACACTGTCAATAAGAGGCTCCTGCTTTTTAGAATCAGAAAACCGCTGGGAGGGCCTCAGTGCATTTTCTTGGTTAATCAACACACTGCAGTGAGGACAGAGGCGGGGCGAGGTCTGGTCTCCTGCTGTGAGATTAGGGGGTGCCTAAAGTTTCTCTCTAAGATCTTCTTTGCTCCAGCAGGCAGACACTTTGCCTCCCATGCTCTGCTGGGTGGGGTCTGTTTCAAGCTCCTTCCTCTATTACCTGAGCTCGGTTCAAAGGGGCTCGGAGCATACCCCACTACACATTTTTTGGCTGGGCATTACTTCCAGGTAAATGTCCTGTATCACTAAACTTTGACAATGCTCTGCCCAGTGACTACCTCTATCGCCACAGGGACGAAGTCCCGTTTCCTTGGGCTCTTTCCCTGGGTCTTTTCTGCTGTGAATTGTCCTGTTCTTTTGTAATATCTGCCTGCAGTCTTTCTGGTAATGTCCCTCTGCTCCACATGTAAAGCATTTCCCTTTAGGTCTGGTGTAACTTGCCAAAGCAGCAGCCATGCGGTTGGCCTTGTGCTCATTTGACCCTACATTCCTGCATAGCCTGATATAATCTAACAGCATGCTCTGTTCCTTGAAAGGGCATATGGCAGCTTGACATGATGTATTCGAGTTCTCAAATGCTAATGTAAGAATAAGATTATCTGCTGCAACTTTGTCTGTTACATTCTTGTGGACAGCATCCTGCAACCTGGATATAAAATCTAATATAAGTCTCATCATTCCTTTGCTTTACTGCCATGTAACTTGGCCATCTGCTTCCTGATGACATTAATTTCTCCCAGGCCTTTAGACAGACTTCCCATTCGTGTGTTAAAGTCTGCTCATCAAAGTTTAATTGTGACTCAATTGTGATGTAATTCTCATCTCCTAGCAGTTGATGAACCCCAAATCTATGCCCTCTTCTGCACTTTTGAGTGCTTGTGCAAGGGCTGCTTTGTTCCACAGCATCTCATATTGCAAAGATTCTGAAGGTGAAAAACACACTTTCGTCAAAAATTTTGAGTGCTGGGATCCAGTATTCCATATCTGCCATAGATTTTATCATACCAATTTAAAATGGTGAATCTGGACCATAACTAGATACTGCTTGTTTGAGATCTTTCAGTAGCTTAAAGGGAAAGGCAGTATATTGTCATTTTTTTATTCCCTTCGGGGTGCTGCACGTCAGGCTCCCTGTCTATAATTCTAATGGAATATGCCATTCTGAATTCTAAATCTGCTTCTTGAGCTATACTCTTCTCCACCCATGAGAGCAAAGGGTGCCTTCCTACTCCTTGACTCTTAGCTTCTCACTTCAGGAGCATCATCACCTTCTATGTTAAAACTATCCATTTGCATTTCTTTGGATCTAATCTCTTCTCCTCCAGCACTGGCTTCCTTGATAGTATTGTGATTCCATGCGCTATACTCTGGTGGGACAGATGCTTCTACTGTGCGATCTCCTTCTAACTCAAACTTTGTTTTCTCAGCAATGCCTAAAATCTTCTCATCTGCCTGTTTCTCACCTGAGTTAAGTCTGTGCAGTTTAGAGGCTTCTCACTGCTCTGATGGTCCTGTTGCTTTGCTCTCTCACCCTGCAGCGGCTCCAACACTGCTTTAATCTGTACCCACAGCTCCCAGGTCTCCATGGGTATGCTCTGTCCTTCCCTGTGAGCTTTTCTTAAGTTAATGGTTACCTTATCCCAGATTTCCATATCAAAGGTTCCTGACTCAGGAAGAGATTAATTTTTTTTACCATTTGAAGAAACTCTTTCATTCTCTCATTCATTGCCACTACATTTTGTTTCTTCAGGAGGTGGCAAAGAGTGATACCATACTCTGTATCCTTGCTCTTTGCTTGACCCATATCTCACTCGGACTGAAAAAAACACTTTAAAAAAGAAACTAACAAAAAAAAATTTCCCATTCACCCTCTCTGTCCAATGAGGCCATACAATTGCTACACAGGATATAACTCAAAAGAGTTCTCTTCCTACAGGGCTGCACATTGAGCACCATATGTCAGGCTACCTGCCCTAACACATCATCACGGGTCTGGTAGGCTCAATTGTACAGTGATAATAAGTAAAGATTATAGTAAATTCATAAAGAGCATGAGAGATAGAAGAGAGATTGAAATAATGGAGTCAGACACAACTCATGGTAGCAATGCTCACCTCAGCTCCACTTGGTGGTCCATATGGAGAGAGAGCAAGATATTTATTGCTAACAAAGGCTTTTATAATCTCTGGGGACATGCAAGCCCCCTAATTACAGGTGAAGACCTACGTCACAGGAAAGGGTTGTGCTGTAAGTAATACAGTAATGGAAGGGGGTGGCTTAGGGCTATACACACAATAGGAAGAGGAGGGATTGGGGGTATACATGTGACAAGATGGGCAGATCCTAGATTCAGGATGGCAGCTTAACTTTGGATGTCACAGAGCCAGTTTAACCTGCTCCCTGGCACCTTTATCAGTAGGGTGTAAACTCCACCTAAAGGACCCAAATCAATGACTTCAGGGCTCTAGAAAAGTAGCCCATTGTCCTTAACAGCAGGGAGCAGGGCCTATAATTGTCTTCAGGGAGGATGTCTGTAAGCATCTGACTTCCCCCCATATGCTAGCAAAACCCCTAATGTTTGGCATGTCTTTGAGGGTGACAAAGCTGGGTAAAAGCTCTTTGTAATCCCACAAAAATATATGAAACTAGCAGCCTGTATTATTCTCAATGGAGAGAAGCTAAAAAAGATTTCATTTCTTTATTTGATATAGTACAATTGGAAGAACACAGAATTATGGAAGTGGTGGTGTATTGATTACATGTTTGGCTGTGATATGCATGGTTGCATTTGAAACCACTAACACCTGATGGGAGAAAGACTGGGCTTTCTACTTGTATAAACAGTCACAGTCTTGGAAACCCACAAGGGGTTGATATGAGTAAGCATGGACTCATTGGCAGGGAGCTTGTTTTCTTTTTTGGAGTGAAAGGGAAATACCACCTTAGAATTGCAAGGATCTAACTGTAGCATACTGTAAGAAACAGTAGGTTCACATTTTTATATTTTTGTTTAACTATGATTTCTATGATGCTGTAGCAAACGGTACTTTATTTTTGCACATCCTTATTAATAAACCTATCCAGATATAAAAAAAAATCTATAGAGAAAACTACAAACAATATTGCAATACACAAAAAGAGACATACATTAATGGTTGGGAAAAAAAAAAGAACATCCTTATGGACAAGAAGATAACATGGTAAAAATATCAATGCTAACAAAATACTACACACATTCCAACAATATTCTTCAAAGAGACAGAGTAAACAATTACTAACTTTATGTGAAAAGAGATAATGGATAAACACAGCATTAATGAAGGGGAAGAACAAGATAGGTAGCATCACAATGATTGAACTTGGAGCGTTTCATCCATCCGTGGTACTCAAAACAGCCTGGAACTGGTACAGTGAAATTGACTGATGAAACAGAATTGAGAACCTAGAAGCAAATCCATCCACCTATGGACAGCTGACCTTTGACAAATGGTCAGAGCCCATTAAATGGGGAACTTTAGTGCTAGAAAAACTAGTTATTTATTTGCAGAAATATGAATCTAATAATTCCATATAGCACACCACACACTCACCCACCTCAAGATGGAATAAACAACTAAATGAAAAATGTAAAACTTCAAGGAGCCCTGGTGGTGTAGTGGTTACATGTGAGACTGCTAACAAAGATGTGAAAGCTCATCAAAGAAAAAGTAGGAGCAAATGTAGGGGCCCTAACTCTTGGCACAGATTGTCAAACATACCAAAAAATGCACAAACAGCAGATAATAAATTAGATGACTAGACATCCTAAAAATTAAGTAGTTTTGTGAATGAAAAATATTTTTAACAGAGTAAAATGAGAACTCGTGAATGAGGGGGATATTCGGCACTAACATAGATGATAAATGATTAATCCCTAAAGTATATAGAACACTTCCAACACCTCAACAACAAAATGACGGGCAGACAATGTGGGCATATATTTAATCAAGGAAATATTTAGGCAGCTAAGAAACACATGAAGCCATATTGAAATATATTGATCAAAATAAAATCAGATAACTTCTCACCCCAGTAATTACAACAGACAGCAAGCACAAAACTGGTGCAGTGTAGAGAGATTGGAACTCTCATGCACTGCTGTTTGAACTGTAAGATGATACAACCACTGTGAAAAGTTATATGATGTTTATTTTAAAAGTTGGAAATGAACATTACAATTGTAGGCCAGCTTTGAACTTCAGTACATGAATTGTTGATGTGTACAGATTAAAGTCTTTAGGTAATGGACACTATTTACACAAAAATATGGGACTTGGTGGAGATCAAAACTTCCAAGGGCACCCATTTACAATGGCAGAACCATGCCTACCAGATTAATGCATGTTATAAGAAAGCAAGGACAGCATTAAAATAGTAAATATGTTATAGTCCTGGGCCACCATTCATTGGGCACCCTTAAGGCAAGACATTTTGTATCAAAATCCAAAGGTCACCAGTGTTATATCCTTGGGATAGCAGTCATCTGGTTCTGATACACTAGTGAGTTTCAGCCCTAAGACAAGGGTGATGCGTGAGATTGAGGTATAGGCCAGTTCACTTAGTGGGGTTTCCACATCAAGCCCTTATAGTGGGCCCTATGAAGGGTGCTGTGATCCTCAAAAGAATAGAATCTATGAGTGTTTTAAATTCTACACTATTAGCTAGAGTAATGACTCTATCAATAGCATTATCTTATGCCCCATGAGGATGATCAATAATGTTTTCTACCATAAAATGATAATATTGTCTCTAAGTGAACCAGAGAATATACGATCATAAATATACAAATATAATTTGAGCTTACACTTAAATCTAGAGCAAATCTAAGAATAATTAGTTGTTATGACATGGTTCTGCTTGATACTGGCCCTCATGAAGAGATCACTGAAGATATGGGTGCTATTGCAAGGTGTGGCAAAGAAACTAGAGGGTACCCAACTGTTAAAAAGAAAAACATCTGCATGCTATCGGATTGTTTTTGAACAAACAGTCATATGAGTTAGATATTAATTGGACCAACATAGAAGAAACACACTAGCCTTGGTGATCCAAGGATTGTGAGGGATAAAATTGAAAGCCAAAGGTGGGAATGATCTCAGAGCTTAAATTGTAAACACCCAGTTTTCCAAGGCTATGATGACAGTGGGAGTCCAAAATCCATTTGCACAGTCCACACCTGGATTCTTGGTCAGTCTTCTTATTCAGTGTCTATCTATCACATGTCGTAGAAGAATCAATGAACTTGAAGTGTGGTGCTGGAGAAGAATACTGAAAGTGCCGTGGACGGCAAAAAGGGCAAACCAGCTATCTTGGATGAAGTACACCTAGATTGCTCCTAAAAGGCAAGGAAGGCAAGATTTGGTCTTACACACTTTGGACATATTGTCAGGAGAGACCAGTCCCTGAAGAAGGACATAAATCATGGTTGGTCAAGTGGAGGGCCAGTGAAAAATAGGAAAACTCTCTATAACAGCGGTTCTCAACTTGTGGGCCATGATCCCTTTGGGGGGTCAAACGACCCTTTCACAGGGTTTGCCTGATTCATAACTGTAGCAAAATTACAGTTATGAAGTAGCAATGAAAATAATTTTATGATTGGGGGAAGATTGGGAACCATGGCTCTATGAGATGAATTGACACCAGGGTTGTAACAATGAGTTCCAGGGTGAGAACTGTTGTCAGAATGGCACAGGACTTTATGGTGTTTCATTCTACTGTATGTTGTACATAGGGTCGATATGGGTCAGAACATCCTTGATGGCACCTAACAAGAACAACAACTGACACACTCAAGTGGCTACATTGTCATTGATTATGCTTCTATTGAATCCCTCTGACCACAGACTAGTGGTGTGAATAGCCTTGCTTTTATGGAGGAAACAGTGGTTTGCAGGGCCTTTGTTTTGATTTTCTCTATTTTTTGTATATGAAATCCAGTAGAGCAAAGCTATGGAGACAGTGACTGCATTTATGGTTTCTTGGAAGGTATAGTGTGGGGGGTTGAGGGGAGGTGGGAACCTGATGGCAATGAGTAGAATAAATAAGTAAATTTTCTAAATTTGATTGTGGAGATGATTGTACAATTCTTATTAATATGACTGAACTATTGAATTGTATGATATGTGAAATATACACCAATTAATCTTTTTTAAAGTTGTAATTGGAAATATAACTTATCTGATCCAGCAATTCCGGTACTAGGTATACATATTAGATAAAGAAGAGTTAGGGAATGATACATATGTGCATATGTTCATTGCAAAGAGCTGGAAACAATTAAAGTCTCCATCAGCAGGTGACTGGATAAACAAACTATAGTACATACATACATGATGGAATAGAATAAATCATTAAAGAATAATGAAGAATAAAAAAATACCTCACAAGATAGATGAACCTGGAGGATATTATTCTGGGTTTAATAAGTCCATCTCCAAAGGGTAAATACTTTGTGAGTCCACTATTTATAAAAAGTTAATGAAAGGTTTACACACAGAAGGAACAGAGAAACATTCTGTGATGGCTATCAAGGATGGGAGGGCGGGTCTGAGAATATTACTAACTAGGTAATTGATACATATCAATTTGGGTGTAGTGAAAGACATTCTATACCTCTAAGGCAAAGGAAGACTCAAATAGGAGCACAATCATTATAGGCAATGAATATAAATACTAGCACATATGCAATCCTGAGCCATCCATACTAACAAGCAATAAATTACAAGTGAGTTCACAGAAAGACAGGCGAACTGAACAGGTAAGGGTGG